TCCGTCCGAAAGACTATGCAACTGGATGGTTGGAGACACTGAAGGATATGGCGACTAAATGACAGTAGTGGTGTTCTTGTTGTCATTTCTTATCAGGCTCGAATGTTTGAAAAGTTATGTGTGTATACTTAGATTGTGTACTTTGTTTGTTAACCATAGAGGTTATTGTTCTTTGTCTCCCTCCAGTAAAGCCCAGTCCCTCTTCGTCTTATGCTCTATCACTTGATCTGTGTACATTGTGAGCTTGGCAGCGATCAGTGAAGTTCGCTGCACTGTATCTCGTTGTACGATGATGATAATGACGATATCAACCTTTGAGCAAGCTCTTTGCTGGTTTATTTTATGGAGCATTGCGAAGCAAGGTTACTTTTTCTGCTATCGCTTTCATGCTCGTACTACATAAATTATTATATCAATAGGAAAAGGAATGCCTCGGAAGACAGTGGTGATTCAGCTAATTGTGAAATGAATGTGAGAGAGGGAAGTCTGAATTGACGACAATTTATGATCAAGGAATCTAAGTTGGCGGAGACCGTGGTTAGCCCCATACGATTCAGTATTGACGATATACAGTCGTGCCATACGGTACTCCAAAGCCTGAATTCATCCGATACCGTGGAAAATCTGTCGAAGTCTGCAAGACTCAGCTCATTCGTCCAGGAATTTACGTCTTGCAAACACCTTGTTCCTTCGCCTCCTTCTTTGAACCCCACTGCCTGGCTTTACATGCTAAAGAACCCAGTATATATATATATATATATCACACGCCTGAGACTAGTGTGTCAAACAAAGCACGGTACAATAATCTTTATAAAAAGAGACAGGTCCATGATGTGCTCGAGGGCATGGCACTGAAGTAACAAACTTCCACCATCAAAGCAAGTAGGTTAAGTAACTGTTACATCTCTGCCTGAATCTTGATTTTAAACTTAGTGCTGTGAACCTTTGTCTTGCTACTCCTCAACGCTTATCTCCAATGCAAAGATATTTTAAACCTTTGAATATCTTCATTAGTTTCTCTGATCGTACCACTTATTATTTCAATCACTACTGTCATTATTCCTTTCATCATCATTGATGCCAAGATCCACAATTTTACAAGGAATCAAGAAACTTGTGATTGAAGAAATACACAAGGCGATTAAGTAGAGCAGGTGTCTCTTCATCCGGGTTGGGGTCCAAAAGAATCCATAGCTGCATGGTTGGAGACAGAAGATCATGGCTGCTAACCGACAGCAATGGCGATCTTGCTGTCACTTCTTATCAGACCAGAATGCTTGAAATAGTATGTATGCACAGTTAGACTGTACTCTGTGTGTTGACCATAAACGTTCGCTTTCTTTTCCCGTTCCTAAAAGTAAGCCCAATCCCTATCGTCATTGCACATTACACTTACTTTATATGCATTATGAGTTTGGCAGCGATCAGTGAAGTTCGCTTCACTTTATTACGCTGTACAATGGCCATTGTGATTGACTGGATAGAATAAAACAAGGAACAGGAAAATCAATCAGCGTAATTGGCATTTGAATTCAAAATTCGTTTTCTTTTCTCTAGGCGGAAAGCTTGTTGGTCGATGAAATGGCTGTGGTCCGTGCTGGTATGAATCATGGTGAACTGTCTGCGGAAGCTTACGCCAAAGTGTGGCATGAGTGTCTTAGTCAAGTCCTCTATCTTCCCGCTCATCGTCGCTACACTCGAGCCAATTTAGTATCCAAACGTGATCGAATCGAGTCTCACGAGAAGCGTCTGGATCAACTGCGTCAACTAATGGCAGATGAAGCCAAACGTGCGGCCAAGCTGGAGAAAAAGCTACGCATCCTCCTGGGTGGTTATCAGGTAAGTCCCTCCGTCTCCTTCCTGCCCATATATATATATATATATATATTCCAACACTGAAAGAAAGAATAGAATAAGATGTCCACAATGGAATGGAATAAAACAATACTAGTTTTGGAAAATAACGACTACGTTGCGGACGGATGATACAGGTTTTGGTTGTACTTAAGACTGTCAGGACATGCTTAATGATTACCGAAAAGTTTTCAAATTCCCTTCATAAGTCACAAAAAGAGAATACACTAATCTACGTCTAACTGCCGTTTTACTGCGCCCTTCTTTGTGATTGGTCCAATTCCGGCTGTCTGGAAATTAATTTATCAACTTGGTACAATACCATTTCGTTCTATCTCATTTTTCTTTCCATTATTAGTCTCGTGCTCAGACCCTGATGAAAGCCATCCAGGAGAGTGTGGATCAAGTTGAACACAGTCAAATGGAACTGATCACATATGAACGATTACACGAGCAGGAAACCGGTGCAATAGTGCGCCGATTGGAGGTCAGTAAAATGCTCCCGATTGCACCCGTTTTTGTTTCATACTACTTCCTTCATACATATTTTCACGTTAATGAGTATTAAAAATGACGAAAGGTATTATCGTACAAACAAAATCACGAGTGGCACACTGCTTGCATAAAACCACATCTTCGGAGGTTTTCGCACTTCGCTGTTCTTTTTTTTTCTTTTTTCATTTTACTTTTATTGAATTTACAAAGATACAATTTTCAGGAAAGAGGTACCGTCCAATCAAAGGTCTACTATTCAACTCACAATGGGAAGGTCAGTGTATAGCGCCATCTTATCTAACTCCGTGTAAGATTGGGAAGCGTGCAATGAAATGTTTTGTTTGCCTTTAGGGTCCGTTTTCATCAACCGGTTGAAATCGTGTTTTTAATGTAGCGAAGTGCTCTGGACAGTTGTATAACTCTGGTCATACCGCAAATATACGTATATTTCCTTCAAAGCGATGCCCATATACTTAAGCATTTTCGGTGCGCAACAGCTGCTTTTCTGATCTGCAATCCATGTTGTACCTGTTAGATTTAAATGATGCCACAAATGAATCCAATCACGCAAAAAACACGGAATCTGGATTCCAAGATGAACTGAAATTCCGGAAAACTTCCTTTAAAAAGTACATCCTATGATGGTCCAAGTGTGTTCGTGAACTATGTTCAGTTTCATTATGCGCATCCATCATCTTTGCACTGTTATATGATTTTTGATTACTGTCTTCCGGCTACCGACTTGATCGACTAATTAGCAAGGAGTAAATAGAAGTGAAAAGTCAAGCTGTAGAATATGCAGAATAGAGAGGTGTACGGAACATTTTTGTGCTCACCTAGTCCCGGCGCTCTTTCTTTAAAGATTTTGCAATATGGTACACCTTCCACGTGCCAATTATCCTCCCTTGCTCCACACATGCACCCACCCATTTAATCAATTGCAGATTCTCGAGGCGGATGTGGAACGTCAACAAAAACGAGGTGTGGAGTTGCAGCGTGAATACGCTCGTCTGGTTCGTCTGTTGGAGGAGCGTGAAGCTGACTTGTTCCTGGCACAGAATACGGATCTGGCTCCCCCTACCTCCTCCGCCAATAGGGCAACCATAACTAACGGCCCATCACAATCTCCAGGTGCCTATGAGGAGACAACAAGCAGTATGTGCAACGGATTGCCTAATGATCAGTCTTCAAATTTGATTGGACCCAGGTAGGTCAGCTTAGGTTAGATAGAGATACCCCATTTATTTACTGCTATTTGCGTGTCCTGCACATTTTCATTGAATCGGGTCGCAGTGACCCACTGTACGTCACTGTCTTTGTTTTACATGTCAATGACGCTGAAAGCTGTCCTGTTTTATGTCAGAGTTAGAGTTTTGTCTGTAGAATGTGAAAGTCGAGACATAAATGGATCGATAAAGAAGACAGCGAATGTTGAGTGGATAGTAAAACTACCCGGATTTCTACTACCTTTTTTGCGATTTATCATCTGCTTCGTATTTTGCAGCCCACCCGCAACCTCAAGCGACCTATCCGAACTAGCCACTACGGAAATGACCAAGGAACTCGACTCACAGGCAGTCGATAAAACAACAGATTCCGATGTAACGGGCACATGAACGGTGCCATCTGCGCTTACTACTTGCATTCCTGGCCCCCTGAATTTTCCCTCCCAGTTTTCCGCTTGTATATGTGTGCTTGAGTTTACTGCTCTGCATGCAGGCACACACGTGTGTGATCAAAAACCATCACACCCGGTCAGGTTCAATTTTAGTAGAACTGGGACGGCCCGATGATATATCATTGCACTTATCCTGCTATCCTGATTGGTCATCACAATTTAGTCCCACTCCTGTTCCTGTTGTATAAATGGTCATCATGTGATGCGTTCCGTCAATACACACAATTACCATGTTTTTGTGTTCTCATTTCATCCGGTTTTGTCGCCACGTAAACTGCTCTATCCAGTTTCACGGGTTAACTTAAGAATCGTCGGCATGATCCTTACAATAGATCTTCCAATGCTGTCCTCATAGACACTACTTTTGGTCTGCTCATATAGCACCAAAGTACTTATAGGGGTCCTTTTTATGTTATCACTGTATGGTTGGGTCCCGAGCTATTCTTCATTTAGCAGTACAAATGTCGTCTACATACTACACGTCAGACTGTCTGCTACCCGAGAGCAAATCAATGCCACTACTCGCGCACGAGGATGGGGCTGTATCCATGATCAGATCTATAACAGAGTTAAATAAAAAAGGAGAGTGAGGTCGATCCTGATAAACACCACTCTCCGTTTTTCTTTATCATAAACATTGTTGTACCATGACTTGTTTGGCACACACTCTGGATTCAGATATGTGTGAAAATATAATACACAATACTCTTCGAGGTGAACTCCGGCGAAAAAGTGCCGTAAGCTCGGACTCGACTTCGGCAGACAATCCACGGAGTATGATCCCAGTGAGAGATTTAGAGGCAATGTTCATTAANAATTAGTTCCTCCGTGGTTTCACAAGAAAATCTGTCATCTTACTTGTAAATCGGTAAGAAGAATATAAGCCGATGGCACCTACTGACATCCCGTACTCAATAAAAAACGATAAACTCACACACAGAAAGCGTATGGCGAGACAAACAGAAAATTCTTACTCTCGTTATCCACTGTTTGACCTCTGTTTCGTATCCCAATCCACTCTGTTATTGTTGTTGAATTGGCACCATGCTTCTTCACAACTCGGTGATAAGTATTGAGTATGACTACACATTACATGGGGAAATTGAGTGATCGGTCTGATGCATTCGAGTCTGTAGAGCCCGCGTTTCATGCTTACTCCAATAGGGTTGGGGGAGGAGGCTGTTTAAAACACACGGATAGCAGATACCAAATGCACTTTGCAACACAAGCAAGCAGTTACACAAGATAATAAAATGGGACCGCGACAAAAGAAACATGATCAGGAGGCAATGCGATACGGAACAGGTGCGTAAAAGAAAGGGAGATGAGAGACAAAGACACACCACGGGAACTCATATACGAAAGCATTGTCCATTGTGATGGATTAACTGATGGGCGGGGGG